GTGGTCCCTGTGCTATTGCTAAGCTTGTTTTAAGTAGGTGCTTTAGACCACTGAGCCATCTCACCAGCCCTGACTAGTCTTAATTATAAATTTCTAAAAGTTGTAATAGAGTTACTATAATTTAATTTGGTCGGGAATATATTTGAGTGCACTTGGTTTTCTAAAGACGCCCTACTATTTTGTTTTGTTTTTTGATACCGAGGATCGAACTCAGGACTTCACTTAAGCAGGCATTTAAGGCCACTGAGCTGTCTCAGCAGCAGATTTTGTGAGGATGTTTGTGTATTCTCTGTGTTTACATGTTTGTGTGCTATTCTGTGAATAGTTCCTCTTTTTTTTTTTTTTAGTTCCTCTTTTTTTGGTCACTTATTCATAATATAATTTGGGATATAGACTTAAAGGCATGCTTTTTCCCCAGTTATCAGATGGCCCAAGTGATATCAAAATTGGTTTACTCACAGGTTACTAAAAGAAAATTTAGATGACTAACAAAAATACATTAGAGAGAGCCAGTGAGGTAGCTCATCAGACTAAGCAAATGCTCAGGCATGCAGTGCAATCCCCAGCACTGCATGCTGCACTGGGCCCACCCTCAGGCGTGCTGAGCCGGTGATCAAGTCTACACTGTAATCCCAGCGCTGGGGAGGCTGAAAGCAGGAGGATCACTACAAGTCTGATCTGCATAGTGAGACCCAGTACCAAATACATTTAAAAAAATACATTTAAATGGGGAGAAATTATTAGAAAGGATTCAAATTGATGAACAAAGGGTGGCCAACCTTTGTTCATTAATAAGGAGTTCCCACTAATCTCAATAGTATTTTAGGAGAGACCTTCAATAACTTGGTCATTGGTTAAAAGATAAAGTTTTTTGAAAAAAAATACAATAGTGTTTTCTCATAAAAGATGCTCTTGGTAAGAAACTAAATTAAGAAACAAGGTTTTCACATGAGTATGGTAATTCATTATTGTTAATCTCATGCTATATTAAATGTATTTATGATTCCAGATGTATGATTCTTCAAAAATGTAAAAAAAAAGATTGCTTATTGTATAAGACTTTCTCTCAGATTCAGACCTCTGCCTTTACAAAAAACTGTGATGTACATCCCATTTAAGGATGACTGACTTTACACGGACCCACCAGTCTTTATGCCGAAGAGGAAGCAAGAAAATTCTTACATGTGGAGGTGGAAAGAAATGCTCCTGGTAGTTTGGCCTGACTCAAGACCTAAGCATGATTTCGGGAAGTTTCACAATTCCTCCCAGCCGTAAGGCATCGGAAACCCTTGAGCCATTGTCAGGAGGCGCAGTCTGCAGAGGCGCACCTGAGATGGCCTACCAGATCATCAACCAAACCTGCTCCACCGAAATCTGAATCTAAACCGAGAAAAACATCTACCAAGAAAGAACCTGGACCAAGGAATAACGCAGGAGCTAAAGGCAGGAAGGAAGAGAAGCAGGAGCCTGGTGTGGAAGGTGCTACACTGTTTGAAAATGGTGACACTGAAGCCCAAAAGGCACAGGAAACT